TGTGTGTGTGTGTGTGTGTGTGTGTGTGTGTGTGAGAGAGAGAGAGAGAGAGAGAGAGAGAGAGGTGAGAATAAGGATAATTTGAGGCCCTGGCAGGTGTATTCAGTGGTTAGAGCATCAGCCTGCACACTGGAGGATCATGAGTTCGATTTCCGACCAAGGGCACATACCTGGGTTGCAGGATCTATCCCCACCCCCAGTGGGGGTGCGTGTGGGAAGCAACCAATTGATGTGTCTCTTTCACATCAGTTTCTCTCTCTCCTCTCTCTCTCCTCCTCAGTTCTTTCCACTCTCTAAAATAAAATAAAAATCACTGGAAAAATTTTCAGGTGAGGATTTTTTTAAAAAAAATAATCCTTTGGGAAATTTTCCCAAATATACATACCCTGGCTATCCAAACTCTTACTCTCTCAAATCAGCACTGTACCCAAAACCTTCTGCTAAATTGGGATCTCTTAGGGGATGCAGGTGGGGTCCTGCTCTATACGAATGTTAGCCTATAAAGATCTTGTGTCTTTGGCAACTCTGTGTCCCCCTTGAGGGTTCAGATGGCTCTCTCTATCCGTGGACCATCCCTCAACACACACACACACACACACACACACACACACACACACACTACAGTACTGGTGCTAAATTAAGGTTTTTTTTGCCCCACGTTTATACTGGTCACATCTTTGCAATAATAATCCCAATTTAAACTACAGTCAGACCTCTATCCATGAATGCTTGGATATGGAGGGCTCACTAAGGGATTTGAGCATCCTTGGATTTGGGGATTTGCGAAGGGCCCTGGAACCAATTCCTCCCCCCTTCCCATACTGAGGGATGACTGCTTAGCTCAGGGGGTTCTGTCAGGATTAATGTAGTGCTTGGCAAAGAACAAGTGCTGGGCAAATGTAAGCTTGCTGCCCCACCTAGGATCAAACTCCCAGGTGCAAAGGACCTTGACAGCTGTTTCTATCACATCTCTCAAGGTGCCTTAGCGCAGCCTCTGCCTAGAGCTAGGCCTGCCAGTCCATTATCAAGTTGGAGTTGGCCTTGTTCAGTAAACTACTGATGCATATTACTTCTTTAGCTGAGGGCTCTGTGTACCTAGTATGCAACTTATCAAATGCAAATGTGTTGCCCAGAAGGAAAACCTGTTTTAAAAGTGTTTAAGACCCATTGGCCAGCTGGGGCTTAACCTAATGGGACTCAGGCCAGAGCAATCTGCTGGAAGAGAAAAGTTGGGGGAGCCCTGGACTCCCAGAAGTGGGTCTTTGGGCCAGTAGAGACAAATCTAAAAAGGCAATGGAGGGCGGTACTGAAACCACTGAAGGCTGGCCCTGACTGGTTTGGCTCAGTGGATAGAGCGTTAGTCTGCAGACTGAAGGGTCCCAGTTCAATTCCAGTCAAGAGCATATGGGAGGTGCAAGAGGCAGCCGATCAATGATTCTTTCTCATCATTGATGTTTCTATCTCTCTCCTTCTCCCTTCCTCTCTGAAGTCAATAAAGATATATAAAACAAACAAAAACACTGAAGGCTGAACTTCTCTCTGTGAACTTCTCTCTGTGCTCTTCTCCGAGGTCCTCTCACACACCCGCCCCCGGCTGCCTTTTCCCAGGCGGCCTGGTTAGGTGGCTGCCTTTGAAGACTGCGGTTAGAGTGTGAGCTCAGCAAGCTGCCTGGGCTGAGCAAACAGGAAGTGGGCACATCCTGTGCGCGGGCCAGGGACACGGAAGGTTCTGCGAGCTAGTGGCTCCCTGCCTGGCCACTCCTGGCTCCCAGCCCCCCCCTCCCCCCCCCCCCCGTCTCCCCCACACACACACCCCGCAGGCCTTGCAGCCGCAGCTCTCACCTGGCATCTCATGAAGCTGTGCTCTGGGCCCCGATAGCACCACCCCCAGGCACCAGAGGCCCAATAGGTCCCCTACATCATTGTCAGGGCTTCTTCCCATGCGGTACAACCTCAGCAGTTTATGAGCTGGGCCTGGCAGACAGACCCAGGCAGACAGTGAGGGGCTTTCAGGCTGGAAAACGCAGGCCCGCAGGGAGCAAGTCTATCTTTTCATGTATCTGCAAGTCTATCTTTTCATTGGCAGGCTGAGCCAATGAAGTGTGGTTTCAGTTTGGAGAGGACTTAGTCTTTTCTGAGTTCACCCCAACTTATAGATGGTCGGAGGGCATGGGGCAGGCTAGAGGGTAGGAGGGAGGAAGTCACGAGAACATCTTGGGAAAAGTGGAGGGCCAGCTAGGGATTTCACAAGTGCTACAGTGCAGAGCTTTAAAAAGATGTGCACTGAGTGGCCAGATTATTATGATCTCTAAATGCATAATAATCTGGCCACTCAGTGTATATCCTACATAATAAAAGGCTAATATGCAAATTGTCCCCCCGACCAGGAGTTCGACCAGCAGGCAGACTGGCCAACCGCACATGTCCCCTCCCCGTGGCAAGGCTGCCCAGACCCCACCCATGCATGAATTTCATGCACCAGGCCAGCTAGTATATATGTTAGAGGACTGGTGCATGAAATTTGTGCGTGGGTGGGGGAGGGTCCCCTCAGCCCAGCCTGCACCATCTTCAACCCAGGAGCCCTCAGGGGATGTTTGACTGCTGATTTAGGCCCAATCCTTCTCACAATCCTAGACTACTGGCTCCTAACCACTCACCTGCCTGCTAGCCTGATCGCCCCTCGCTGCCTCCCCCCCCCCCGCCGACCTGGTCGACCCTAACTGCCCCCCTGCTAGCCTGATCACCACTAACTCTGCCTGCCAGCCTGATTACCCTCAACTGCCCCCCCCCCATATACACACTGGCCTGGTTACCCCACACAGCCTGTTCAGTTGTCCATTTGGTTGCAATGGTTGCTTAGGCATATATATATATATATATATATATATATATATATATATATACATACTGAGTGGCCAGATTATTATGTGTTGAGAGATCATAATAATCTGGCCACTCAGTGTATACCTTTCATTAAAAAAAAAAAAGATATATACCTTTTACTTCAGGATTTCCCTTCTGGCAATCTATCCTAAGGGGAAAATTGTGAATATTTTCCTTAAAGGTGTGCAATGAAGAGTAAAAATATTTATATATTAAGCCAACCTAAGTTCATCAGTAAAAGCCTGGTGAAATAATCATGGTACAGCCACACAATGTAGTTGAAAAATCTTTCATAGTGTGAGAAAATCTTAATGATACTATGTTCAGTGTCACAAGCAGATACCAACACAGTTTATGAAGTGTAACTTTAATTTTTTTTTAATATTAATAAATAAATAATAAAAACAAAATAAAATATATTAAAACAGTTTTACTTAGGTATAATTGACCTACAATAAACACACATTTTTAAAAATATATTTTTATTGCTTTCAGAGAGGAAGGAAGAGAGAGAGAGAAGCATAAATGATGAGAGCGAAGCATTGATCAGCTACCTTCCTGCATGCCCACACTGAAGACTGAGCCCACAACCCAGGTATGTGCTCTGATTGGGAATCTAACTGTAACCTCCTGGTTCATAGATCAATGCTCAACCACAGAGCCACACCAGCCAAGCAAATTGCACATTTTTAAAATGTATGATTTGAGTTGTGACATGTGTATACACATGAAGCCATCACCACAACCAACATAGCGAACATATTCATCACCCCAAAAGTCCTTCCCCTCCCTACCCCTAGCCACTGATCTGCTTTCTGTGCAGTATGACTTTTTTAAGCACAAGCGCGCGCACACACACGTAGTTAAATGCTCAAAAACAGAAAAAAAAAAAATCCTTCCAAACAGTATTGAAGAATGCTTGTTGAACATGGTATATTTGCTGGTGGTGTGGAGTTGCCTGCAAATGCTTTTCTTTTTCATGGTGATGGCTTTTGTGGTGATAAATATATAGGTGATGGCCACAGGGTTTTTACTTTAAGGTGTGACAGCTGTGGTGAGGATGACTGTAGGCAGAGAGTGGTAACTGAGAGGTAAAGGCTGTAAAGTTAATGACTCTAGGAGTGATGATTGTAAGGGTTATGGCATCCGTGGGGGTGACTGGCTGTAGCATGTGTTTGTAGGGGTAATAGCTGTGAGGATGATGGCTGTGCAGGTCATAGTGGCAGTGATGAGGCAGATAAAGGAAGATGGCTGAAGGGTGTTGACCATAGGGTAGTTCTAGCAATGATGGCTGTAACCATGCTGATGTAGTTATAGGGATGACTGCAAAAGTGATTGTTGTAGGAGTGAAGGCTGTAGGGATGATGGTTGTAAGAATGTTGTGGGGATACTGACTGTAATGTCTGTAAGGGTGATAGTTGTGAAGATAATGATTATAATGATGAAAGTGGCAATATAATGACTGTATGGGTGATGGCTGAGGGTGTTGACTGCAGGGATGGTAGCTATAGTGATGATGGCTGTAGGTGGTTCTGACAGCAGTGAGGATGACTACAGAGATGATGGTTGTAGGGACAATAGTAGTGGTAGTGATAGAAGTAATGACTGTGATGCAAGATGGCCAGGAGCATTGGCCCAACAGGCAAAGAGATGGTCCAAATTCTGGTTTCTGGATTCTGGTCAAAGAGACAAGAGGCCTGTGTAAGTCATATTAATGTCATGTTGATTGGCCACCTTTGGGGGATGGAGCAAAAGGACTGGTGATAATTGACATGAGATGGCAAGGTAGGGACTTTTCTCTGCTTGTTCAACCCAAGAGCCGTCTGCATCAGAATCTCTAGAGACTGAAGCTAGGACTTCCTTCCTCCCTAGGGCCCGACAGGGGCTGCGATTGCTGTAAGAGCAGGTCACGTGGTAGGTTTCCTGTATGCTGCTGCCGCTGGGTGTACATGGCCCTCACCCCCAAGCAGCTACTCGGCTACCGCAACAGTCGGAGTGGCAGCCCGAGGTTCGGTTCATGCTGTGCTCCCTGGACAGTGTTGGTGAGGCTGAGCGAGAGGCCACCACATCTCGACACCTAGGAGAGTAGGGAAGGAGTGTCAGCAGGTCCGAAGACCATGTTGCGCCGCAAGCCATCTAACGCCAGTGAGAAGGAGTCCACTCAGAAGAAAAAGGTGAGGAGCAACTCTGGGAACTCACTTCTTCCTTCCCTCTGCTCTCATAATCCAGCCCTTCGACTCATAGAAGTGGGAGGACCAAAGGCCATACCTTGATTCTGTAGGCAAGGGCTCCCATGAGCAATGGGACAGGGGCCCAGAGGTTACTAGAATATCAGAAGTTCTAAAGAAACTTTCAGAATTCCAGAGATATGGAGTTAAAGAATATATTCTTAGAAATCTAGATTATAGAATTTAATCCTACGATGATGAGGTAGAGACCTTAATATTAAGGGCTAGACTCCTAGACTAGAATTTGAGAATCACAAAATGCAATTCTCAAGTTGAATCCGAAGACTGTACTTGTCTCTCCCCTACACTGGTCCTGCCACTGTTTCTGTGTAAGCATGGTCTCTCAGGAGCCATCTCAATCAGAGGGTCCCACTGGGCCACCCCACTTGAGCCATTATGCTCCCGGGGCCCCACTATTGGGTTATAGCCACATTCTGTTCACTTGGTTCAGTTCTGTGGAAGCTCCCCTAACCCACGGGGGAGAAATTATTTGTTAAGAATGAAAAATGAAGCGGGTTAGATGGGGAGTAGGAGTGATGGTTGAGGAGGAACAACCTGAAGGAGAGATTTTAGAGGCCAAGAATAAAAGCAGCTGCCATGGACAACTGAGGTATTCATATTCACAGAGCTAAAGCCGATCTGGAAGATCCCTTGAAGACTCTGCCAGATCTAAGCTTCTCTAGTTGGATTTGAGGATTTCTAGACTTAATTATTTGATTTGATTGTAGGATTTTCCCAGACAATCAGCAAGTACATCCCACATATCGGGTGGAATCCTAAAACAATCCCAAAGCAGGCCTGAACCAGGACCAAGAGGTCCAGACCTAGCCACAGGTCAAGATCCAGGGCCTCCAGTCCCTCTGTTTTCCCCAGAGCTCATCCCAGGTGCCCTATGGGGGAGCCCCGTGGTCAGGAGAGCACCTCCTAGCCCAAGGCTGAGCTTCAGGTCACTGGTGTGTGCATCCTGCCTCATTTCAGCTCCTGGGGTGGCTGCCACTTCCGTCTATACTCTCCTCACCCCAGTTGCTTCTGTAAGGTTGCAGTGGAGGTGTGGGGAGGTGGGGGAGGTGGCATGAGATGTTTGAGTTTTCCCACAGGCTCTGTCACCTGCCTGTTCAAGCCCTGCACAGCACTGGACCTAACAGACTTGCCATTGACTGTCTCTCTCTGGCGAGCAGTCTGCTTCCCCTTGCTCTCTGCCTAATGGGGATGGAAAGCTGAGGCTGCAATAGACACTGCTAGGCCCTAAACCACAGGGTAGCTGAGCTGCAGCAAAGAGTCTGAGAAAGAGCTGACACTTTAACACTAGGACCCTGTGCTACCTCAGGCAGAGGTGCCAGATTTCCTATCTTCTTTCCTCGCTTCCATTATCCCAATTCTGTGTTTGGCCACTGGGCGTCTGGAATTTTCTCCAGCCTTTCCTAGGAGAAACAAGTCCCATGTGGTCCTCTAGGGAAAGGTGGTCCAGGCAAAGCCACTCCTAGCCACAGCCTGAGCCAGCTTTCAATGCCACTCTCCAAGCCTCAAACCTTGGAAGTACCCTTAGAAAAACCAATGTATGCTTCTAGAAGGTGAAGACAGTATCTTCCCTGGGCCTGGAGGCAGTGGCTGGCTCCAGCACTGTGACCTTGAGAAAGTCCCTTCCCCTAGGAGGGTAAAATGTCAGGGTGGAGGAAAAAGCACAAAAGCAAGCAAGACCTCTCTCTCCTGCCCTTGCTCCTCCTCCCGGGCCTGCCAAATTGAGAAAGTGTGTGCAGGGGACAGGAAAGCAGAGTTGGAATCCTACTAAGTCCGAGCTGTAGGACCTTGGACAGTTCATTGGCTTTCTTTGGGCCTCAGTTTCCTCATCTCTGAAAGGGGGGATAGCTCCTGATCTGTCCATTTCAGGAAGTTACATGGGTCACCTGGAACAACAAATTTGAGGATGCTTTGTCAAGTATGTGCATGTGCATATGAGGTGTTGCATCCTGTCAGCATGGGTGGGGGTGGGGAGCTCACGGCAAAGAAGAACAAGCCTGAGTCCCAGCCCTGAAGTGGAGAAAACAAGATTTAATAGCATCAAGAACCAGCACTGAGTGAGAACTCATCAGGATCAGGTACCAAGCACTATGCTGTGCGCTCCACTCATCTCTTAGCTCCTTGGCTTCTTCTTCTTCTTCTTTTTTTAAGACAAAAACAAAAACAAAAACATATTTTATTGATTTTTTACAGAGAGGAAGGGAGAGGGATAGAGAGCTAGAAACATCTATGAGAGAGAAACATCGAAAAGCTGCCTCCTGCACACCCCCTACTGGTGATGTGCCCACAACCAAGGTACATGCCCTTGACGGGAATTGAACCTGGGACCCTTCAGTCCGCAGACCTTATGACAACCTTGTGAGTTAGAGGCAGATATTGTCTTTATTCCTATTTTAGGCCAAGACTCAGAGACTTACCCAAGGTTACCCAGTTAGTAGGCTACAAAGCAGAAATCCAAACCAAGATTTGTCAGTCTCCAGAAGGTTAACCCTTTCTCCTTCTACTCTCGTATCCCCTACTGATTTCAAAAGCACTAGAAAAATGTGATGAAGATGAAAGACTGAACCCATCATTAAGAGAACTTTGCAGGGAAGACCCAGATTACTATTGGTTGAGGGACTTTCCAGGCCACAGAGGCAAGAGCAGGCCCCCTAGGATGGTGGGGTCAGGATGTGGCACCTATTGGTCATCATGGATTGAGGAGGCCCCTGAGTGGGGATGGGGACATGCTCCTTGGCAGATTTTTGCCTCTATTGAGATTTCGCTCTCTCTCTCTCTCTCTCTCTCTCTCTCTCTCTCTCTCTCTCTCTCTCTCTCTCTCTCCCTCTGTATTCCCTATCATCTGTTAGAGTGTAGGAAGCAGATTGAGGTTTGTCCTGGGATCACACCCCAAGCCTCCTACCAAGGGAAATGGAGAGGAGTTATTATAGTGTCCACATGTTCTTTCCTTCCAGTCTCTCCCTGCTCCTCTCTCCCAATCCCTGCACACTACATCCCCCTGACTTCCTTCCTATGAAACACCTCTAGCAAGACATGCCTATCAGCATGCATTTTGTATTTTCAGTGGCTCCTCATTGCCCACAGACTAATGCCCAAGTTCCTTGGCGTAGCTAGCAAGGGTTTTCCATATACTTTTCTGTTCTACCTCCCATCACGTGCACTGGCATGCCCACCATTCCATCACCACACTGGAATGTTTCTAAGTCTCACAATTGTTTAAACCTTTCCCAGAAACTCCTGGCTCCCCTACATGACCCAGCTCAAATCTGCCTCCTCCTCTATGAAACCCTCCTGAGCCCTTCCTCCTCCATACTCTCACCTTCTCTCCCTGTTGCTCCCTTCAAATGCCACCTGAATCGCCATTGCACTAAATTCAGTGTGTGTGTGTGTGTGTGTGTGTGTGTGTGTGTGTGTGTGTGTGTGTGTGTGACTTTGTGAGCTCTGGGTGCAGCAACATGCAGTCTTCCAGAGTCATAGACATGGGTTCAAACTCCTGCTCTTTCTTCTTCCAGCTGTGTAACTATCTAGTGTACTTTGTTTCTCTGAGTCTCAATCTCCTGAGCTAGGAAGTGGGTATGTAAAACAGGGCTGTGGTGAGATTGGAATAAGCTGGTACACATGAAGCACTTAACAGGATGCCAGGCGGAGGGGAGGTGTTTTACCCCTGGTTACTGGATTCCCATGCACACATGGCCTGGCACCTAGAGCTCAGATGGTGCTAGGTATGTGATTGGTACAAGAATAAGCTGAGAGCATAATTGTGGGGATACCTAGGTGGGGAAAGCGAAGCTTGCTTAGGAAGCAAGGGAAGAAGATGGCGCTGTGAGGTCCTGAGAAGGTGATCAGGGAAGGCTTCCTACATGGGATAGTGCCTTTAAAACTGGATTTGAAAAATCTATTTATAATATTTGCACAAATGAGTGCATAAATCATAAGTGTACCACTCGATGAATTTCCATAATGAACATCCCCATGGAAGCAGCACCCAGATGAAGAAATAGAACACTTGCCCTAACCGGTTTGACTCCATGGATAGAGCATTGGCCTGTGGACTGAAGGGTCCCAGGTTTGATTCCGGTCAAAGGTCCCAGGTTTGATTCTGGATTGTAGCCACATCCCAGTGGGAGATGTGCAGGAGGCAGCTGACCTATGTTTCTCTCTCATCAATGTTTCTATTTCTCTCCCTTCCTCTCTGTAAAGAATCAATAAAATATATATTTTTTAAAAAGAAAAAAAGTAACAGAACACTTGCAAAACTCCAGCAGCTTCCACCATGCCTCTGCCAGTCACCTCATGCCCTCTTTCTCCAAGGGTAGCCACTAGCCTGAGTTCCAACAACATAGATAAGTTTTGGCAGGCATTGAATTTTCTATATGAAGAACCATATCATATACTCTGGTGGCCGGACCCTTCTGCTCAAAAGTGTATCTGAGAGTCATCCATGTACTAAGCTCATTGCTATGTCCTAGTGCCTTGTGTGACTGCCACTACTCATGTATCCATTCTTTTTTCTTTCTAAAATTTTTTTAAATATACATTTTATTTATTTCAAATAGAAAGGGAGAGGGAGAGAAAGATTAGAAACACTAAATATGAGAGAGAATTATTCATCAGCTGCCTCTTGCACACCCCTCACTAGGGATCGAGTCCACAACCAAGGCATGTGCCCTGACTGGGAATTGTACTGTGAGCCCCTGGTTCATAAGTCAATGCTTAACCATTGAGCTATGCCAGCCAGGCTCCTGTGTCCATTCTACAGTTGATAAGCCTGTGGGCTGTTTCCAGTTAAATCAGATTTTGAAGGAAGGGAGAAACTTCAGTTGACAGAGTGAAGGGTGGATTGTTCCAGGCAGGAAATGCCTGGTGAGAGCCTGGAGATGGGTCAGAGGAAAAGCTAAGCCATACACAGACATTTGGACATTTGCTGAGGGGTGGCTGTATCAAGCACTAACTCCCTTCATCCTCTCAGCAACAGGTGAGGTAGGTGCTCTTGTCTTCATTTTACCCATGAGGAGACGGAAGCCCAGGGATGTGAGGAACTCACCCAGCTTTACACAGCTGGTCAGTGGCAGAACCAGGATGTGAACCTTTGCCTGCTGACACCAAGTGAAGAGACTGGGGTCCAGGGAGGTTAAAGAACTCACATATCCCAAAGTTGAACTTAGTGAGTGACACCTGACACCAGAAAAATGCTTCTTTCTAAGAGGTCCATGAATTACCCTTAAACATGAAAAATGTTTGGTTCTACCACTCTCCTGGACAGGACCCCCAGGAAGACCTCCCCTCAAACGGAGGACAAGCATAAAATACAGAGGCTCAAGGATTTCAATTCCTACCTGGGTCACTTCAGAGACACCCCAAGGCATTCAGGATATCTGCCCCTAAGAATGAAGATTGGCCACTCTGGTCGGCCCCCACTCTTAGTTACCTGAAGAACTATACAGCCCTTTCCATGTTCCTGGGCTGAGGATCCACCAGCAGCACCCAAGTCCTAGCACCCCTCACACACACACACACACACACACACACACAGTTTCCTCTGCTGTTGACTTAAAGCTGGGCTGCAGGGGCCCTGAAACAAGGTCCCAGGAGCAAAAGGTCCCCCTCCCTGCCCCCAGACTGCAGATTAATGACAGGAAAAGGAAAGAATTGCGATTAGAGGAAGGCCTGGCAGAGTTTACTCTGCCCCAACAAAGCTCACTTCTGGCCCCATGCCTGCCCTCCTGCTTGCTTTCCAAACCTGCCAGTCCCTGGGGCTTCTGGGGCGGCTCTCAGCCTCCTGGTCTGCAGACCAGGCCAAGAGGTGATGGAGAGAAGGTCACGATAGGCCCCATTGACCTATAAATAGCAGCCCAGTCTGTTGCCCACCCTCTCTCTGTTCCCTCTTTTCCAGGCAGTAAGAGGAGGAAGTCATCGGGGCAGCTGCATCCTAGCAATACAAGAGGAGGAAATCAACAGAGAGCAGAGAGAAGGGGAAAGAAAGGGAGAAAAAGAGGAAAGAATAGCGAGTGGGGAAAAACAACGAAGGAGGGTAGAAGGCATACATGGGAACCAGAGCAGCCGCCCCAGAGTCATGCTTGTCCTTCCCCACTCGTGGACCCCTTTTTTGGCTCCCCAACATGGAATGGAAGAGGCTTCCTGATGGAGGCCGCAGGTGCCCCACCCAGGAGGCCCTCGTGGTTCCAGTGGCCAGTTACTTGGCCTGACTGCTGACCCAATTTCTGGTCAACTAGCTTGTTGCAACCTCTAGTGTGGCCCCTGACCCTGATTGCTAACTCGCCTCAGGTCAAGACCCACCAAGAGAACAGAAGTGCTCCACTGCAGTCCCCAGGAACTGAGGCCAGTGGTGTGTGTGTGTGTGTGTGTGTGTGTGTGTGTGTGTGTGTGTCAGGGGGCAGGTGACATTGCCCCTGCCGTAAGAGGTTGTCACTGGGACCCCCTTCTTAGGAAAGAGGATGTGAAACTTTCAGCTTTGTGCAGGTTTGGAGCTTTGGTTCCGCAAGCCCTTATCTCCGGTGTCTGCAGTCTATCCCGCTCTATCTGTCTGGCCATCTGTGAACCTTGGTTCCTGTGTGTATCTGTAGTCTTGACTGTTGATCTTGATTCGGGCTTCTTGTGTTGAAAGCCCGCCCTCATTACCTGGCTGGCCCTGGTTCCTGCGGCCATCTTAGCATGTGCACACATACACAGTTAAGAAAGCTCATTTCTTGAAAACTGTCTCGTCAGCACAAACAATAGGTCAGGCTGAAAAGTCCAAAGCCCAGCACCTGTCAACAGTAGTCATGTCATCACATTGGTGACTTAAGTTAAAAGCTGAGGTGAAGAAAGAAAATGGCAGCTTTCTCTTACTCAATGACTGCCAGTCATTTGTGTCTCAAATCTGTGGGCACCTTCTCTGATGGCTTCTTTTGTTGTTGTTGTTGCTGCTGCTGCTGTTGTAGTTAACCCTCGCCAGAGGATGTTTTTCCGTTGATCTTTTAGGAAGAGTGGAAGAGAGAGGGAAATAGAGAGAAATATCAATATGAGAAAAATACATCCTGCACTCGCCCCAACCAAGGCCTGAGGAGCCTACAACCAAGGTACCTGCCCTTGACTAAAATTGAACCAGGACCCTTTGGTCCCCAAGCTAACCCTCTATCCACTGAGCCAAACCGGCTAGGGCTCCAAAGGCTTCTAATGTGGTTTTCCAGAAAACCTAATGTCAGGTCTTACAGACTCCTGGGAGGGGTTTTTTTTTACTCTTCTCAGGACAGATTCACCAGGGTGGGGGCCCTAATGTGCTTACTGCTATCACTGGAACAGGAGACCATGCTTGGAGCCCACCCAGAGCCCAGAGCCCAGAGTCCAGGCTGTGGGGTTTGGGAGGGTTTGCTCTGTTACATAAAGTCGACGCTATTGTTCTTGCCGAGGTATGTCTAGTAAAAAATATGCTTTTGACTCATTTATTCTTTCACATCAGGGTTCTGGGGAGCAAACTTCAGGTGAAAAGGTGGCATTCATCTGAGGCTTAACTGAGGCTCTTGACGTCACAAGCTAGCTCTGGGGCAGGTATTAGAGGCCATTTTCTGCTGTTAAGCAGGATGAAGCCAGATATCTTCAAGGTCATCTTGGTGTTTTACCGCAATAGCCCTGGGACCTCAGGGCACGTGTGACACTGTCCAGCCCTGGGGTGTGTGTATGTGTGTTGGGAATGGGAACAGTTTCTTACAGCCATTTTAGCACCACTGATTGCAACACCTCTGTTTCTTCCAGCTCTCACTGCAGCGCTCCAGCAGTTTCAAAGATTTTGCCAAATCCAAACCCAGCTCCCCAGTGGTGAGCGAGAAGGAATTTAATCTGGATGATAATGTGAGTTTCAGAGCTTCCTTGGAGTGGGGGGCTGGCTGCAGGCCCTGGGCAAGGGAGTGGCTGGAAGGGAGAAAGGCAGGGAGGAAGGGAAAGAGGATGTTTTTAAAAATCAAATCTTAATTGTTGAACCTATTACATATGTCCCCTTCCCCCCCCCCAACCCATCGACTCTTTCTAGTCTACTCCTGCCCCCCTCAAACACACCCTAGGCCTCTACCACCCTATTGTCTGTGTCCATGGGTTGTGCATATATGCATACAAGTTCTTTGGTTGATCTCTTCCCACCCATCTACCCCTGCCTTCTCTCTGGATCTGTTTTGTTTATCAGTTTATTTTGTCCATTAGATTCCACATATGGGTGAGATCATGTGATACTTGTCTGGGAAAGAAGAGATTTTAGGATTGTTGAGGCAAAGTTTGCTTAAATTCAGAAGGTCTACCTCTCCCACCCTCCAAAATCCTGGGCCCTAAGAACTCACCTGCATCTTTTTCAGTTACAAATTAATTATCAAATTAATCACCCATTAATAGGGCTGAGGACAGGACTGGAACTAAGAGGGAAGGAGATAGGAACTTCCCATTCCCACCCTTCCATCCTCTACTGGGACCAAAGGCCTCCTTCTATCCCTAAGTTCTGGACACAGGCAGTCATCAGAGTTCCTGGACTTGTTGTCACAGATTCCAGAAGATGACTCAAGTGTCCCTACCCCAGAGGATGCCGGGAAAAGTGGCAAAAAGCTGGGGAAGAAGTGGAGGGCCGTGATTTCCCGAACCATGAACAGGAAGATGGGCAAGATGATGGTGAAAGCCCTGTCCGAGGAGATGGTGAGGCCTGGGATCCAGGAGAGGGATGGGGACAGGTCCCACTCTGACAAGGTGTGAGCATGGCTACCTTGACAACCACTGCTCACATACCATATCTGAAGGCTCCATTAAATATGAGAAGGAAGGTTATGAGACAGGGGAGCCCACTCAGCCATGGACAAGGCACCATGGTTCAGAGGGAATAGAATTAGGGTCTAATGAGGGATGAAAGTTGGAGTAACAGGAGCTTCCTGAGGAGGCAAACCTGCGGAAAGTGGGCCCTTGGGATTGGGAAGGCTTGATTCAAAGAGGGGCCCCTAGGAGAGAAAATTCGAGAAGGCTGGCTTTGGCCCAAGGAGGGAGGGTACGACAGACATCTGTAGGGCAGTCACAGCCAAGCAGCTGAAGTCACACAGTGATTCTGGCATGTTCTGGAATCAACTAGTACTGGCTTATACCAGCTCAGGAAAGCAGCTGGCCAAATTTTCAGGAATTTTGCATGGAACATAACATTATTGAAAATTAAATGATATAAACTAAGAATTAAATAAATGATATTAAAAACAAAGGGACTACAGTCATTGCTCAAAACTGATCCCTTCCTAATTCTTGGACTGCCTTTCATTGTTCTCTATGCCCCTGAAATTATTTGCATCTATAGTGTCTGTGTGGAGGAAATAGCCTATGATGATGCACTGCTTGGTCAGTGACTTCACTGTAGTAGTCAAAGGTAGTTAACTCTTCAGCACCACTGAATGTTGGCCATGGTTGAGAGTATTAACAACATAGGGATTGATGACTCTACACATAAAGGAGGAGTTCCCTCTGCACTAAGGTATGGGGGAGGGGGGGCAGTGCTTTGGAGTCAGGTGGATTTGAATAGCATCTGGGGCCTGGCCTTGGGAATGTTCCTCTATTACTTCTCATCTGAAAACTTGGGACAATCAAGCACTTGTCCTCAAGTGAGGATTGAATGAAATGACAGATGTGCTTGGCAGATGGGCGCACAGTCAAAGGTAGTAACTCGTCAGCACTTACTATCTGAGTGACTGTGCCCCAGCAACAGCTCAGAGACCAAGCTCTGGCACCAGCCTTCTCTGTATGTGCAATGGCTCTATCCACTGAGCCAAACCATCTAGGGCGACAATGGCATTTAAAATGGACAGAGTATATTTACAGGGCCTCATTCTGTGAGATGGGAGGGCAAGGACTTTTCATTCCCACCTTACAAAAGAGGAAGCTAAGGCTCTGAGAGTGCCATGTAAGCTGGGGCTCTAGTCAGAGCCCAGTTTTCTGTCAAGCCCAAGCCTATTTCCTCTGCACCTGGGCTACCCCACTGCACCCCAAGAGAGACTGCTCAGGGCTTCCTGTCACCCTTCCCCTGCAGACAGACACTCTGGAGGAGGGCTCAGCCTCCCCAACATCTCCAGACTACAGCCTGGACAGTCCTGGCCCTGAGAAGATGGCACTGTCATTTTCTGAGCAAGAGGAGCGGGAGCTGCCAGCACTCAGCCGCCAGACATCCACTGGTAAGTAGGGTAGGTGTGGGGAGTCTGGAGAAAAAGAAGACTGGGTTAGGGCAGTACTGGTCATTGTCTGGGAGGGGCTAAGAGAAATGAATCTTTATGGCTTACCTGCTGGGAACTTCCCAACACTCTTCATGTTAAATCTTTATAACTTCATGGGGCCATTACTATTATTATCCCCATTTTATTGATGTGAAAACTTGTGGGAGCCCCGTATGTCCCACATGGTTCAGGGTTCCAGTTCAGGGTTCCAATTCAGGGTTTGGGTTCTGAAGAAGGCCACACACAAAAGAAAAGAGACTAGAAAATTATTGATTTGGGAAATGGTGGGCCAGGCAGAAGCCCACCTCTGTTGGGAGGACGACCACTAAGCTCTGGCCTTTCCATCCCTTTTATTGAGACTATGGGATACACCTATAGCCCTTAGGCAGGTTTGGGATATACCCATAACCCTTAGGCAGGTAATAGTCAGATTATCATATCAGGAAGGAATTTTAAAAATATATTTTTTTGATTTTTTACAGAGAGGAAATGAGAGGAATAGAGAGTTAGAAACATCAATGAGAGAGAAACATCAACCAGCTGCCTCCTGCACACCCCCTACTGGGGATGTGCCCGCAACCAATGTACGTGCCCTTGACCGGAATCGAACCCGGGACCTTTCAGTCCGCAGGCCAATGCTCTACCCACTGAGCCAAACTGGTTTCGGAATCAGTAAGGATTTACATGAGTATTTTATGGGGAAGTTGCCTCAGTTACCATTGTCTCAATTAGATGGGGAGTGGTTGGCTTTGACCTTTTAGAGCTTCAAGGTTGACCAGCCTTCTACATCTTTCTATTAGTGAGACAATGAGTCTCAGGGAGGTTAAATGACTTGCTCAGGGTGACCCAGTCTTGAACTCAGTTCTGCCCTAAAGGAGCTCAGTTTGCTGTCCCAAGCCTTGGAGGGCTCAAGAGCAAAGGAAAGCACCCCCTGCCTTCTTTTTTAAAAGAATACATTTTTACTTATTTCAGAGAGGAACGGAGAAGGAGAGAGAGATAGAAGCATCAATGATGATAAGAGAGAGTCATTGATGGGCTGCCTCCTGCACACCCCACACTGGAATTGAGCCTGCAACCTGGGCATGTGCTCTTGACTGGAATTGAACCTGAGACCCTTCAGTCTGTAGGCCGACACTCTACCCATTGAACTAAATCAGCTAGGGCTCTCTGGCCCTCTTGAACCAGCCCACTCCCACACTTCTAAGCAGAGCTAAAGGTTCCAGCTGCCTGGGCCTCTGTCATCCCAGGCTGGTGTGAGGGTATAGAGCCTCTAGCTGTGAAGATTCAACCTCTTGGACCCCAGACCTTGGATTGCTGAACCTAGGACACCACTTGGCATCTTCTAGATGTCCATGGGGCTAGGCAGGAGATTCTGAAAGAGTGACTGAGGCCTCTGGGCTGCAAACCTTCAGAGGCATTGCCTTTCCCACCCCTCAGGCTAGTTCCAAGTTACCTGTTCTTTCTCTAGTTCCCCAGGCCTGCCTGATCTGTCACCCCTCCCGTACATTGAAAGCCATCTATAATAATAAAAGGGTAATATACTAATTAGACCGGACATCTTCTGGACATCTTTCCGGATGTCCTTTCTGACGAAGTCGGGGCCAGAGGGAAGCCAGCCCAATCTGGATGCCTGCCCGCAGCTGAAGGAGGGAAGAGGGAAGCCTGGGTCCTGGGTGCCAGAGGGCAGCTGGTGCCAGCAGCTGGGGGTGGGGGTGGGGGGAAGACCTACTCTTGCATGAATTTTCATGCATCGGGCCTCTAGTTTAAAATAAGCTTCATCCTGCTCTTCTCTGAGAGAAAGACCCATCTGAGTTTCCAGTAACTGGACACTGAGTTTTATTAAGTAAAGAAAGTTAAATATTAATGAAGGATGTGGCTTCCTGGGTGGAAGGAGCACTAGAACGGGAATCAGGAGACCTAGAGCATAATAGACCTAGTGCTGTCAATTATAAGATGAGATGGGCAGGCCATTTGGCCTGTCTGGCCTCACTTTTCCTCATCTGTTCAGTGGAGTGTTGGCCCAATTGGTTTCTAGAGGCCTCCCAATTTGCCTGTTCTTTGTACTCTGAGCCATTTCTCCTGCGATCAGCTGTTCTCATGTCTAAAGCCTCAGAAGTGAAGCTGTGCTCCTGCAGGGTGGCCCAGGAGACAGGCCAGAATCCCTGCCACAATGTGAGACTAACCAGCACCTAGCTTTTCCCCCCACTGTGTAGCCCTGGGACTCTAGACAGACTTCCTGCAAGGCACCTGCTGAGCGAGACCCCAGCTGTCCTGGGACAAAGGTGACTCTCCTCCCTGCCCCGTGTCTTGCAGGCAGTGAGTTCTGCAGTCCCAGCCCCGGCTCCAGCAGCTTTGGAGAGGAGCCACCTGCCCCCCAGTACACAGGGCCCTTCTGTGGCCGGGCCCGAGTCCACACCGACTTCACTCCCAGCCCCTATGACCACGACTCACTGAAACTACAGGTAAGATTGGCCTCCAGGCCCCAGGGTGCGTGCATAGAGGGGGCTGGACTGAGTCCGGGTAGGACAATGTCAGCAGAAGTTTCGGGACCGCCCTGGCCTCTCTCTTAATCCACTCTGTTCTTCTCCCACAGAAAGGTGATGTGATCCAGATCATTGAAAAGCCGCCTGTGGGCACGTGGCTGGGCTTGCTCAATGGCAGGCTGGGCTCTTTCAAGTTCATCTACGTGGATGTGCTGCCTGAGGAGGCTGTGGGGCCTGCCCGCCCCAGCCGCCGACAGAGCAAGGGCAAGAGGCCCAAGCCCAAAACTCTGCATGAGCTGCTGGAGCGCATTGGCCTGGAGGTCTGACCTTGGGCCCGCCTTAGCGGCTAGAATCAAGGGACTCCCCTTATCCCAGGGATGGTGGCCAGGGCACATCAGCTAAGTGAGGAGGGATGGCTTGGGGGGTTTGTAAACTGCCTAGCTGGTGGTCTGCCTCTGCCCACAGGAGCACACCTCCACCCTGCTGCTCAATGGCTACCAGACACTGGAGGACTTCAAAGAGCTGCGAGAAACACACCTCAATGAGCTGAACATCACAGACCCACAGCATCGGGCCAAGCTGCTCACTGCAGCTGAGTTGCTGCTGGACTATGACAGTGAGTAGGCTTTGGATCTGGGTGGGGTTCCCCTGCCAGTCCAGGGAGGGGAGGCATCTGCCCCGAGGCCCTGTGCAGTGGGTAGGAAGGCACTTTCCGCATGTATTTTAAGTCTTACTTTTAAAAATATTTTTATTGATTTCAGAGAGGAAGGGAGGAGAGAGAGAGACAGAAACATCAGTGATGAGAGACTCATTGATTGGCTTCCTCCTGCATGCCCAACACTGAGGATGGAGTCTGCAACCTGGTCATGTGCGCTGACCTGGAATCAAACCCTGACCTCCTGGTTCATAGGTCAATGTTCAACCAATGAGCCATGCTGACTGGGCCCCTTTCCACACTTTAATCCCAGTCTCAGGCAAAGATTGTAGGGAGAAGGGGTTTTAAAAATGATCGGGCCCCACTCCCTTTGGGATCCCAGAGGAGACGTAAGGCCAGAGAAGGTAAGGCAAGTACTCAAGGCCTCAAAGCAGGGCAATGACAGAGGCAGGTTTCAGGACTCCTGGCTTAGTGCTGAGAAGTTTGTTCTTTTTAAAATATATATATATATATATATATATATATATATATATATATATATATATATATATTGCTTTTTTATGGAGAGGAAGGGAGAGGGATAGAGAGTTAGAAACATTGATGAGAGAGAAGCCTCGATCAGCTGCCTCCTGCATGCCCCCTACTGGGGACGAGCCTGCAACCCAGGCACATGCCCTTGATTGGAATGGAACCCGGGACCTCTCAATCTCCAGGCCGATGCTCTATCCACTGAGCCAAACTGGTTAGGGCAAGAAGTTTAAGTTCTTGAGCCTGGAAACTACAAGAAGGGCAGACATGGTGACAGGTGCCCAGAGGGAGAGACTGCCTACAGTGTCCCTACTCCCAGAGCCCCTATTCCCACACAGGGCTCCCTGGGGTTTCTGACCCACTCCCTTCCAAGGCCCAAGGCCCAAGGCCTCATATTCCATCTCCCACTCTTGTCCCTGGCAGCCGGCAGCGAGGAGGCAGAAGAAGGTGCCGAAAGCAGCCAGGAACCAGCAGTGCACACCCTGTCAGACCCCAAGGGGGACATCCCACGTGACTCAGGCTGCTTCGAGGGCTCAGAGAGCGGACGCGATGAGGCAGAGCTGGCAGGCACTGAGGAGCAGCTGCAGGGCCTCTCTCTGGCCGGGGCACCTTGAGCGCAGGTGGTGGCGGGCCAAGGCTGGGCCCGGGCAGCACATTCAACAGGGATGGGCCCGGCCTCCAGAGGTGGTCCGGACTAGAGGACTGGCAGAGGACTGGCGCCTAGTCTGGCCCTGCTCCTCTTTCCTCCCCCAGTAGCAGCTGGTCAGGGCCTGCAGGTTTGGCTGGAGTGGATAAGGAGCCGCTGAGGACATACCACACCTGCCGCACCCCGCCCCACACACATACACACACACTCTCCCCCAGCTACTGACAGTACAGCCCACTCTGGCCATGGCTACAGCAAGTGGGGGCACCAAGGGATCACCTCACTCGTCCCTCAGTGAGGCCTCCAAATCCTCCTCACTCCCTCAGCACCTTCCCCTATGGCACTGTTCCTGAAAAGGGACCAAGTATTTCATGTCTGTCTCAGGACCCTAAGGAAGTTGGCCATTTAAAAGGATTCTAATTGATCACGGGGAAATCCAGATTGTCCCCAATAAGGTTTGAAGAGAGCGACATGTACATTTCCTACTTTCCTTCTCCTTAACTTCCCGAGAGGTTTAGCCACTAAATCACTATGTGACTCAAATCAAACGCCTTCCCCACTTTGGCTCTAGGACTGCCAGGCATTAGAATGGGTAGACGCTGAGGGCCTTGCCAACTTGGGCATTCTGTGACATTAAATGTCTGCTCTCCTGTTACCTGGGGCCCAAGATACCAGTGGGGCTTACGAGGAGGCTGGGAGACCTCAGGCTTCCAATGAAATGCCTGCTCCTGCTCATCACTTGTATACCTCCCCACTTAACTGCAGGCTACACTGCAACTTACTCCAGCTTAAAACAGTGCCCATACCTTATAGAGTGTGCACTCCCCCTTTCCACTCCTGGTCCCCTCCAATGACGCTTCTCAAGGGTGATGGCAGATGGCCAGACCGGCTTCCAGAGATCATGGTCCTTCAGAAGCCAGATGTAGGCGCGGGCCCTGACTTGGCTTCTTGTGTGGATCCTTACAAGCCAGGGAAGCACAAACTTGACATTGGGGAACCCATTACCCCACTTTGCTTGTTAAAGGCTTTGATGTGCCCTGAGCTCCCGAAGGGGAGAGATAGTATCTATTGGTGGGAGGCCTCCCTTGACCCCAGTACCGAATCTGTGCTCTGAATTCGAGTAACCCTTCCCCAGGGCCAAACTGGCTCAGGGACAAACAGTGCCTACTACATCCAGGACTGCTGGCTTAATGGACACATTTCTGGACCCACTCCCGGGAACTTTGGAAAAGCTAGCTTGTGGGGGGAAGGGATTAGTGTACATATTAGCGGGGTGAGGGGAGGTAAGTTGGCAATAATAAATGTAAGTAGAATGAAATTATCATCTTATTATCTTTTTTTGTTTGTTTGTTTGTTTGTTTATCCTCACCCCAGGATATTTTTCCATTGATTTTTTAGAGTGGAAGGGAGGAGGAGAGGCCAAGAGAGAGGAACATCAGAACATCCATGTGAGACACATCAATTGGTTGCCTCCCGCATGTGCCCCAACCAAGGCTGGGGCTCCAGCTTGCAACAGAGGTACCTGCCCTTGACCAGAATCAAACTCAGGACCCGTTAATCCAAGGGCTAACCCTCTACCCGCTGAGCCAAACTGACTAGGACTCCATTTATCTTTCTTTCTTTTTCTCTCTTTTTTTATATTTTATTGATTTTTTTACAGAGAGGAAGGGAGAGAGCTAGAGAGCTAGAAATGTCGATGAGAAACATTGACCAGCTGCCTCTTGCACACCCCCTACAGGGGATGTGCCTGCAACCAAGGTACATGCCCTTGACCGGAATCGAACCTGGGACCCTTCAGTCTGCAGACCGATGCTCTATCCACTGAGCCAAAGCGGTTTAGGCTCCATTTATCTTTCTTATGGAGAGAGGGTTGAGAAAACACACCAGTCTCCTTCAAAGCTGGACTCAGCAAAATGTCCTCCATTGTCCTTTCAGAGCCATCTGTCCCTTCCATGCAGACCTAAAGCTTCAGTTTGAAACTCTAGCTGTCTCTGCCCTTCCTGCTAACCAGCACCCCCCCCCCCCCTACTGATCTCAGGCTCCCAGGGCCATGGTCCTTGCTGGGGTCTGAGAATTGGGAGTATCTTCTTAGAATATTCATGTAGTAAGAGCCTTGAAGACCTCTACTCCAATGAGAAAGGGCTTGAACTGGGGGTTGTCCAGAGTCCAGGAAGGGGAACTTTGAATTCAGCTGGGCCTTCCTCTGAGGCTACCTCTTCCTGAGGCCTACCCTGTGATCACTGAAGCTACATCATCTCTTGGGAGGTGGGGCAGAGACGAAGAGCCCTGGATTCCTTTGTTTCTGCCAGTATTAACTCCATGAGAGAAACTGGAGTGAGCTGCCACCAGAGGGGAGATAAGGCCACTCTGCTTCCAGGCTTTGTTCTCAGCGGCACTGACCCCACAGCTGTAAGTGGCATGGGCCTCAGGAAACTGTAAACATTATCTTCACCAAAGAAGCAAGGAGGAGCCCAGACGACCACAAAGCCCCAAAGGCACTGAATAATGGCTTTAATTTAGTGAGTAAGGACACATTTGCCAGGCATCAAGGGCTTTGCATTTCTTCTCATAATCATGTTATTCCCCAAGGTAGGTACCTTCACATTTCCAGTTCACAGAGGAGAAAACTGAGCAGCAGACAGGTTGAGGTTGAGTAGTCCACCAAGCTTTCAGAGCCCCCCTCCCAGCCTTCCGAAGGGCAATCTGACCTTCTGTAGTGTGCCTTAAACACCCTTTAACCCATCACCCTCCAAGGATTCGATCCAAAGAAAGCCTTACAAGCACACACAGATACATGGACAGTGTTATTTGCAACAGCTTTATCTGTAAGACACAGAAAATAACACAAATGGGCAACTAGATACATTATGGTCTGTTCACGCAATACCATGCAGTCATTAAACATGATGTTGTAAAAAAAATTTGACACAGGGAAAATCTTTGTAATTTTTTTTATTGTTTAATATTTTAAATTATACAATAATGTACAAATGTTCTTGTTGTAATAGAAGTCTGGGCTTTGTTATGGGGAAGAAGCAAGTGCTAAAACATTATTTATAGGGTGATTTAGTTTATGAAAAGAAATTCATATGCAAGAATTAAGACCAGAAAGATTTGAATCAAATGGTAACTGGTGATGATCTTGTGAGGTGAGTTGGGGGTTGTGGGGTGCGATTGGGGGAGTAATGGAGAGAAGTGTTCACTTTCTACATTCTTGCTTTATTTCCATTTCAAAAGTATCTATTTTTTTCCTTTTTATCTATTATTTTTATATCTATCTAAAAAGGAAAAATATTTTAATTTGGGGGTAGCTAAATAAATCAGTACGACTAAGCTTCTGACCTCTAATTTGGGGTAGCAGCAATGTCATTATCCTGCTGCCTTAGGCTCAGGCTTCTGGAAAGATAGGGATTAGAAGTGAAAAAATGCCCAAAGTATTTTTAAACCACAGACACACCAAGGAGATTCCAAACCATTTTATTTTTATTTTTTAAAATATAAAGGTAAGCCTAATGGTTATTGACTTTTTACAAAGAGGAAGAGAGAGGATAGTTAGAAACATCAATGAGAGAGAGAATCATCGATCAGCTGCCTCTTGCACACCCCCTACTGGGGATGTGCCCGCAACCAAGGTACATGCCCTTGACTGGAATTGAACCTGGGACATTTCAGTCCGAAGACTGACGCTCTATCCACTGAGCCAAACCAGTTTCGGCCTCCAAACCATTTTAAAACCCTGGGTAGCACCTATCTATTAAATCTAATTTGGGGAAAGAAAAATATCAGAAAAAGAAAGGTCAGGCTGAGAAAAGTATGTTTTGAACTCCTCCCCTGCCCTGGGGAGGGGGCTGGAGGAGATATAGGGCCTGTAGGCTGAATGCAGGCTGAAAAGACTCTAAGAGTGCAGGTGAAGAGGGGCAGGAAGGAAAGGAAGACTGCAGGCCAAGACCTGAGGGGCCAAAAAGACAGTGCCAGGTGGGGCTACAGCCCAGGGCCCAATGCTCTTCTTCCAGGCAGTACTGCTGAACCCTCCTATCCAGGCCCACGGACATCCAAAAGATGGAAAGTGGCTCCCTGAGCCCTACAAACCAAGATCTGGGGCCCAAAATGCTGTCTTCACAGATGGAGACCCTATACCCCCACCCCCAGCCTAGAATGTCAGAGGCCCAGGCAGCTGTAGCCTATAGCTCCAGCTTGGAAGGATGGGGGGGTAGGCTGGCTCAAGAGGGACAATGGAGGCCTATGGTTGAGCATCAACCCATGAGCCAAGAGGTCATGGTTCGATTCCTGGTCAGGGCACATGCCCCGGGTTGTGGGCTGGATCCCCAGGGTGGAGCATGCAGAAGGCAGTTGATCAATTCCATCTCGTCACTGATGTTTCTATCTCTCTCTCCCTCTCCCTGCCTCTCTAAACTCAATAAAAATATATATTTTTAAAAAGAGGGCAGTGGGGTTCTTCCTCTGCCCTTGAGTCCTCCTGGGCCTGGGACAACAAGTGGAGCTCCTCTAGGGAAGGTAAGCCTAATGGTTAGGAGTTAGGGCCTACTTGAGTTCAAGTCTTGGCTTTGTCACTCACTTAGCTGGTTCATCTTGGATAAGTCACTGAAGCTCCTTGAGTCTCACTTTCCCCATCAATAAAGTGGGGATAACAATATTAGCACCAAGGGGTTGTTACGAAGATGGAATAAAGAAGTGAATATGAAATACCCGTAAAAATCAACATTCAGTGAATGGATTCCTTAAGTCTACAATACCCTGTATCTGCATTTCACTCCTTTTAAGGCCAATCTCACCTTGGACCCCTAGGTTAGTGTAGTGACAAAGAGCAAAGGCTTTGGAATTAAACTAAAGTGTCTTCAAATCCTGGCTCCACCACTTACTAGTTACCTGACTTCATGTAATTACATACATACACATTTCTGAAAATAAGAATGATTTAGCTTAGCTGGCGTGCCTCAGTGGTTAAAT